AATTTTAGAGATTTTTTCAGCTGCTCCATGCAGCCCTAGATCAGCCGACTGCATGATGAGGTAAAGGGCTGATCGAGGACTTCAGGTAAACCCAGYTTTTGGATTTTTTGGTGGTGTTGAAAACCCTTGTAGTTGGTCTAGGGTTTAGCACCAAAATCAAGAAGAACTGAAGAAAGGGGAAGAGTCTTGATTAAGTAGGACTCTTCAATTTTGACATAGGAAGTGGCGCTCTACTTTTTTAGGGTTTCTTGAGGTTTTTTGAAGAGGGCGGTTCAAGYCCTAGCCTTTTTGGAGGCCTTTGGAGGGAGCGGCAACCTCTTCTCTCTCTTCTCCCACTCCCATGGAAAATAGAATCTTATGAGGGAGGGGCTTCAAAAGGTACCAAGAAGGTGTTTGAGGTTTCTAAAGGAGATAAATCCCTTTTTTTCATCTCAAATTGATTTCCTAGTCTGTTTTGGATGTTATGGAGGGTTGTGGAGTTGAAAACAAATTTGCAGGTGAAATGGGACTAGGGGAAGGAGGTGCTATAGTTCTCTTCGGGGTTGGGACCGTTACAGTAAAGTTTGATGGTACAAACTACTTAGAATGGTCACAATCTGCACAAATGGCCATTGGGGCTTGTGGAAAATTGGGGTATGTCATCGGTGAAGAAAAGAAACCTAAAGCTAACTACTCCCGGTGGGTACAGGAGAACTATATGGTGATAACACAACTAAGGAGATTTAGGATGGAGTAACAAAAACTTATTCACAGAATGAGAATATTGCTAGAGCCTACCAATTAAGAAACTAGGTGATAAGTATATTGCTATTTATTTTCAGCCCTATTTTAGTCCAATAAAATGATTCAAAAAACTTGGAGAAAAGATACAAAAGGAAGATGAGAAAAATAGGGCATAACCACTGTTTTAAACCAGGAAACAAATAACAAAACGAAGAAGAAGAAGAAGAAGAAGAATGATTAACTCACCTTGACTTTAGAGGACTGTGTGGGAATGATGGAGGGCGTTCTTTGAAAAGTGCCTATTCGCCTAGCGACGCTTGACAATTATGTCACCATTAAGAAATTCATTCTTCACATCCATTTGATACAAAGGCCATGAGAAGTAAGCGACAAGGGAGAAGATTACTCGAATGAAGTTCATTTTAGTTATAGAAGCAAATGTCTCTCGATAATCGATGCTATAAGTTTGAGTATATCCTTTTGCCACTAGTTGAGCCTTATATCTCTCAGTTGAACCATAGACATTGTGTTATATAGTGTATACCCACTTGCATCCTATAGGAACTTTGTCCTTAGGAAAGAACTATTTCCCAAGTTTTGTTCATTATGAGATCTTCCATTTCTTGGTTCATGGCATCCTTCCACTAAGGTGATTGCATTGCCTCTAATAACACTACAAGGAATTCGCATAGAAGAAAAAACAGAGATGCATGGAAAGTAGGATGGTGAAAGGGCATCATAAGAAACATAATTATTAATAGGATAGTTAGTACATTCCCTTTTACCCTTCTGAATAGCAATAAGAAGATCAAGGCCAAAATTCAAGACATCGGCTTCAAGAATAAGAGGTCTAGAATCAACAAGGGTCACAAGTTTAGGATTACTTGAGTTCAAGATATTAGATTGTAGTGGACATTCAGTTTTAGAAGCAACCTTTTTCCTTCATTTGATGAAGGACTATTGCAATTAGGGGAAGGAGATGGACAAGATGTAGGAGGTAGGATAGGTAAACAAAAAGAAGCCTGATCTTCACTAATATTCTCCCCCTAAAGAGAAGGGCAAGATGACTGAAAGAAAGGAGTGGATTCAAGGAAGGTTACATCCTTGGAAACATATCTTCTACCAAAATGAGGATTGAAGCATTTGTAGCTCTTCTGGATAGAAGAATAACCAAGAAAGACATTTAATAGACTTTGGATCAAACTTAAGCTATGAGGGATTCATATCATGAATAAAGCAAGTGCAACCAAAGACTTTGAGAGGAAGACAAAAGATCAGATCATTAGTGAAGCGGAATTGATGAGTTGATTGAAGATGAAGAGTCCTAGAAGGAAGTTTGTTAATAAGGTATACAACAGTTTCAACTGCATCTCCCCAGAAACGAGTTGGGATATGCATTTGGAATAGTAAGTCTCGAGCAACTTTAGTCACATGTATATTTTTCCGCTCAACCACTTCATTTTGTTAGGGAGTATAACTACACGAACTTTGATGAATTACTCCCCTCTCTTCAAGGACGAATCATAAGTTCTTCTCAAAGTATTCCTTTACATTGCTAGATCTTATCATTTTGATCTTCTTCTCGAACTATGTTTCTATCATATGAAAGAATTTTTGAACAATTAAGGGAATTCCATCCCTACTCTTCATTAGGTTTAGTGAAGTGTTTTGAGAATAATCATCAATGAAGAAAATAAAAGACTTGTATATTCTCATGCAAGGAATAGAATATGGGTCCCATACATTAGAATGTACCAAATGGAAAGCAACATTACTTCTTTTATTATTGGCAAAATATCTATTTCTACATTATTTTGATAGATGGCATACTTCACATTGAGGACTCAAACTTTACATAGACTGATACAGATTAGGTAACAAATGTTTCATAGAACCAAAGGACACATGTCCAAGGCGACAATGTCATAATTTCAAAAGACTCAATTTTTCATTTTGACAAGAATTAGTTTGGCACAATAATCCTTGCTCAAGGGCTTGGTCAAGAAGGTAGACTCCATCTATTTCATGTCCACATCCAATTGTCTTCTCGTGTTCAGGTCCTAATAAAACACAATGAGAGGGAAAGAAGGTTACATAACAATTATGAGCTTTTGCGAGGGAGCTAACAAATAAGAGATTTTTATGTAGTTGAGAAATATGAAGAACAAAACTGGAGGAAAGGTTAGGTGTAAGAATTTCTTCACCCAATCCCGAGATTGGAGTATGAGATCCATTTGCTACAGTAATCTTACCTTTCCTAGGAGTTAATTTATATGAGGTAAAGTGGAAAGGCACACCAACCATATGTGCACTATCTCTAGAATCCACAATCCAGGAGATAAAAGAGGAAGGATGACAAGAAAATGCAATACTTGTTTTAGCAAAAGAGGTGGAAGGATTGCTAAAACCAACAAAATTTGTTGACCCACTCTTCTCTAGCTCAATCAAGAGGCTTGAGGTTGCCCATCACATCAAAGGAGCCATGTTGTGAAGGCTGGATACCAGTAGTCTATCACCACCAATTATAGCTAGATGAGCATTACCCTTCTCTGTTTTAAACCTTACTCAGCCTAGGTTTAGAAGACATAAAGGCAGAGTGCTCAATATTAGTGTTCTGCATTATAGCAACCCTCCTACTGTCTTCTCTTTGCACCAAGGAATATGCCATAGAAAGTGAAACAATATCACTACTATGGATATGTTGCCTGGTGAAGTTTGTGAAAACCCTATTCAGTTCTAGGTTCAAGTAGAGAAGAAGAAGAAGAAGAAGAAGAAGAAGAAGAAGAAGAAAAAGAATACCCCTGTTCTGTGAACTCTAACACTTCCCCTGTTCTGTGAACTCTAACACTTCCCCTCATGCTAGAGAGTATATGTCATATAGTCCTAGCTTGTCACAAATATAATCTACTCTGCCCTGAGACAATCTCTTTGTAAAGAGATCTGCCCACTGATTTCCCGAGCTCACATGAGATGTGGTTATCACTCCACTGATCACTTTCTCTCTTACAAAGTGACAATCGACCTCAATATGCTTGGTTCTCTCATGGAAGACTGGATTAGAAGAGATGTTAACAACTACTTGATTATCACAGTATAGTCTCATGGGTTTGTCAACTGAGA